AAACTGGGCATTCCAGTCACTCCCCATCACAGACTCCATACCTGTGTGTTATTCCCCTTTATGTTAATAGGAATATTTAAAAGCTGTCATCTTCCAAGCCCCTTGGCTCTTGTTGGCAGGGCTGTGCTGCCCTGCCTGCTGTTTGTACTTAGCACATTAAGAGGCTGCTGCTCTGCAAACCCCATGGCTGTGGAAGCCATTTGGACTGTCTTGATGTAAATAAAGTGAAGCTGGCAACAAAAATGAACGAGGAAATGCTTTTCTGGTTATTAAAAGCAATTTGGTCACTAGATTGTTGCTGTGAAACTTTTCTTCTAGTTTTCTTCCTTCCTTACCTTGCATTTCAGAACGTGTTCTGAGAGCAGTGCTTGCCACGTGCTGGAAGGAATTTTGTTTTAATATTTTATTTTTGTTGTACTTTATAATACCTGTATTTTTCTATAAATCATCTTTGAGGTGTATTCAGTGGCCCAGACCTTTTTGCTGGTTTAATACTAGATTTATCTGACCTAAGTTGTCAGTCTTCAGCAGTAGATTATTGCTGCCATGTCAGTCTGTGTCATTAGTCCTTTATTTGTCAATAAAAACATATTTGGGTTATTGCACTTAAACACTTTTCCCTCTTCACAAACCACTCAGAGTAGGTTTGTAGCTTTAGCTTCTCCTCTTGTTTATACCTGGAAAACTGAGCAAAATGCAATCCAAAGCACACTTCTCACTGACTCAAATCTCCAGTGAGGAACAAACAGATCAGGTACAAGTTTCATAAATTCTCTGTGCCGTACAAAGCACTGAGTAGTGATGGGCACTCAGTGTGTAAGCTGTGAGTAGAGACTTGCTGTGGTCATTTATAACTCCTCAGCGCTGCTGGCCCTTGGAGGAGGCTTTTCAGTGGTTACTGAGTGATAAAGTTGGAAGAGTCAGTAAAGAAATGTACTCAACACAACTTTATGTAAAACACTTTATTGGAGGCTGTACTTGGAAGAAGCAGTGTCCAGGTTTTTATAGAGAGGCTTCCATGCTGCTTCCAAGCCTGGAGCTGAATTCTCAGTGTAAAGCCAGTCCCCTCTGTTCTTGGGAAGGAGGGAAAGTCTCTTGCAAGACCTGGACCGTGTTTTGTTCAGGGATTTTCAGTGTGTGGAAGTTTTTTTTAATTTATTCTTTGTACACAAAAAAGGCTTTGCAGCAAAGGTGGGGTATAACTGGTTATTCCTTTTTCCTTTAAGGTTTGCTGTAGTTATTTTCCATGTTGTTGCTCCCAATCATGGTGATGTGAGAGCGTGGCAGGTGCCTGTCTAGTCTGTGTTCCTTAGCTCGGGGTCACTGTGCTGTGCTACTCTGGGCTCTCTGTGGGGCAGTTCTGTTTGTTTATCAGTTCATTCTCTGCTCTGGGGAGTGCAGGAGGGAGGTGTTGGCTCCTTGCTGGGTGTGACCAAGGGATGCTGAGAGCTGGAGGTGCCACTGGACTGTGCCAGGCTCTGTGGGGACATGAGGGACATCAGCCTCTCCCTCCTGCCAGTCTCCACTCACATTCCCAGTGCTGGTGGGACCCTGAGTCCTTACAGTGCTGTCTCCTAATTAGCAGATGGGTTTAATGAGGGGTGCCACAGGAGCTGGGAGCCAGGGGTGCAGGCTGGCAAGGCACTTCTGCTAATCCATGGAATGGGAATAGCCTCCACCCTGCTACACTCATGGGGGCAAGCACAGAGCAGCCTGGACTTCCAGAGCAACACAAAACTTGTGACTGCATCAACTGGGGCTAAACAACATTCCCAGACAACACCTGAAAAATAACATGGAACTCCAGTAATTCTAGACTGGCTTTTGCTTTTTGGCAGTCTCTGAAGTGTGGAGAGAAGGCAGAGAGCAGAGCAGCCAAAACTGGAGCTGGGCTGTTCATTCACAGCAGCCCCATGGATGAGCAGAACCATGGTCCTAAAGCTGCAAGATGCTCTCTGCATTGTGCATGAATAAATGATGGATGAAATGACTGCTGGATTGTAAATGGAATTTATAATGGTAATGATATAATACAGGCTCTTGCCACAATGGGTCTCCTTTCTTGTCTTTTTAAGCTGCTTGGAAAGGAGCCCAGTGCCTTATTCTTTAGTGCAAATAAATGTAAGCTAAGCAGCCTTGTACATTGAATATCACTGCCATGAGACCTCCTGGCCATATGTACCTGTCTGCTGCTCAGCCCTTGGCTAATTTGCCACCAACTCCCAGGAAAAGCATGATAGAAATGAAAGTGGTCTGAGAGCACATTACATCTGGTATTGGGAAAACACAGAAAACCTGATTTTATAGCCTGGTGCAGCTGTGCAGCATTGCCACTGATTTCACTGTGCCATGAAGCAAGAACTCCCTTTGCTACAGAGAAATCCCATCAGTTTCCCCTCTATTTTAACCCCTGCAGTGTTAAACCACAGAGTGTGGTCAGGATGAGAAACCCATCGTTTTCCCCTCTATTTTAACCCCTGCAGTGACACAGAGTGGGGTCAGGATGGAGCTTTTGGAGCCTGCTATTGTTGCTGGCAGTTACATGGTGAAAATGGGTGGGTTTAGGCTTTCCTCACACGTTTCACCCTGCAGTGAAAGTTGTTAGAACACCTTGAGAATCAAAAAGCCAAAGGAGCCTTCAGGAGGGTCTGAAGCTTTTCTCTGCGTCTCAAATCAGGATGTGATTTTTTAGCCATTTTCTGTCTGATCGTGGCCAAACTCTCCAGCTCCCAGCCAGAAGGGCTGAGAAGATGTGGATACAAAGCTCTCCAAAACCCAGCTCTGCTCTCATTTCTGAGCAAGAACATTCAGCTCTTCCTTTAGACTTTGTTTTATTTACATTTGAGGCTTCTCATGAAAGCAAATTACAGAGCAGAACAGGGCAGTGAGACCATTTTATTCCCATTAAAAAGTGTTGGTTCTCTCGCTCTCCAGCCTCTGCAGGGCTCCTCACGAATCACTTGCAGATGAGATGTCTGCTGCCTCATCTTTAAAAAAAACAAATAACATACCTGGGAACTGGCAATGGAATTCTTTCCCCCATCCTGTCTCCAGCTCCCAGGAACTGTAGCTTTAACATTTTACCTGGCAAGTGAGCAAATGTGCATCAGGAAGGTTTTTTGTTGCCTTGGGGCTTTTGGTTGTTTGGATTTATCAGAACTCTGAATAGTTAAAATCTGAGCAGAATTTGAAGTAAACAAGAAAAATCAAACGTTCTACTTGTGCTGTTTGGAGAGGTCACTCTTTGCAGACAGAAGTGTAATTTAAAAACTTTTCCAAACCAATCAAATGCTGGTGACAGGATGCACATGGAACCTCTTGAAAGAGCATAAGTGGCTTTTCTCAGAAGGAGAAGTACCTTTTGAGTAACCTTTCCACAAGTATCCAGCTCATTGGACAACTTCTCGCATCTGGAAGCAATAACTGATGTACAAAACTTCTGCCTTGGAGATGAACTTTGGGATCTGTGGGTACTTGCAGTGATGGTTTCCCTGTGTTGTTTCAATGATGCTCTGTTCTCTTTGTGCAGACACCCTGCTAACAGATGCTGCAGTTAATGGGTCTTCAGTGCTGAAGATCTCAGAAGGTTTAAATTGTTTTCTTGAACACTAAGTGTGAGTTTTGTGGGAGAGAGTTTCTCTTCTGCCTTGCATTGTGTGATTCCAAGTTCCACAGCACGTGTGACTCTAAAACCCCAAAGCCAAACAGCCAATACCCAACCCACCAAGAAAAAAGCCCCAAACCCAGAAAGGTCAAGTGTAGTTTTCAGCAGCCTTCATTCCTGGGCTGGTTTGAGCTTTGCTGTGCCCCTCTGAGGTTATTTTCTACAGGAATTTGGTGCTGCTGCTTGGCAGGTTCCTGCAATAAAAGTGTGTGTTTGCAGGGAATCTGCTGGGTGCAGAGTTTGGCTGGCTTTATGAAGTAGTAAATTTTCTGTTGCTTAATCTAATATTCTAGAGAAAAACAGTCGTGCAGGCAAAGGAGAATGTTGCTTCACCCTCCAGAAGTGCCATTAGAGATCTTGATCTTGTTACAGCCTTTGCTATTACTTGTGAGAGCTGTAACATATTTAAGCTCTGCTGCAGTCAGAAAGCACAAAGCAAAGAGTGAGTGTCCAACAGAGAGCAACCAACTGTGCTGAAGCCAGGGAGGCAATGCTGGGGCCAGCCCTGTGCCCCAAGGAGCAAATCAGGGTGAGTTGAACCCTCTTTTACTTTATGTTGGATTAACCAAGCCCTGTGCTGTCTCTGTGATGTTAAACCCTGCTTAGAACGTGTGCTGCTCTTTGAAGTGACAATATCCATCCTGCACCTTCAACTCAGGGTTTCCTCTCCTTTTCCAAAGCTCACCTGTCAAAGAAGCCAGCCTAGAACTGAATAAACTGGATTTGGGGGTGTCCCCATCCTCTAAACCTGCACTCAATCATCTCCTGGCTTGGTAAATATCCAAATATAACCACACAAGGGCTCCTGTGCTTATGACATTCCCATTGAGCTGGCCGAGTTACTTTTTTTCTTGTCTCTGGTTTCTCCTGCCTTCATTTATGTGCTTGGCTGTAAATGCCTCCTCAGACAGGAGCATGTTGATGAGCCTTAATGAGTTAATATAATTCCTGTGAGCTCTATATTGCTGCTTAAAAATACTGGCTGTGGTTGCTTTAAAATACAGCATTTTCTGCAAAGGTGCATGATGGCACCAGCTGGAGGGGGCTGCACTGGGGTTGGGACAGCTGAGGTCCCCATGGAGAAGCATCCCTGCCCTAGCCAGCCTTTTCCTGCTGCAGGCTCATTTGGAAATGGCCTTTTCACACAAGACCAGTGCTTAATATATCACTCAGGCTTTGCTCATTGTCTACAGTTAGTAGTCTAACCTAGGCTCAGCAAAGTAATTAGGAGAAATAATTAACAGCTCTCAGTGATGAAGCAACCTCTCTCTCCCTCCCCTCTCCCTCACCATGTGGTGCACCTTGGTAGTGACTCAGAAAACACAAGAGGACATGATGAATCCAAAAATAAGTCTTTACCTGTAATTAACTGTGCACACAAAAAGGAAAACGTGGTGATCAAGCAGCCATTAATAGTTGCTTTACTGGAGGAGGATACACCAGAATCAAATGCTCATGATAAAATGTCCCTTTAGGTCGTGGTTCTGTTATAACATTTAATCCAAACAAAAATAAGTCTCTACCCAAAGAAGAATTTGACCCGTACACCATACGGACATGTGTGGATAAGACGCTGCACCCCTCACGCTCCAAACGCCTCACGGCCCCCGTGTTCTCCATCAGTGCAAGAAAACAAAACCCAGCCATGAAAATACAAAATCAATGCAGCAACTACAGTCGTAGGCAACAGTATGTGCGTGGCCAGGCCGGGCCCGTGGTGGGATGTGGGATTTGCAGCAGGGATGGACCCGAGTCCCCTCTCCCCTCCCTCCTGTCCCCTGCGCGCTGGGGCTCCGCTCTTGTCACCACAGGCTCTCCCAAACCAGGACGCTGAGAGGAGGGAAAATAAAAACACCACCCCGGCCTATACCAAAGTAAAGAAAGTAAGAATTAAAAAAACCATCCCTCGGATCGCGGCACTGTTCTCCTGGGCCACCCTGTGTGGAGCAGGACAGATCCCTGTGCGGGGCAGGACAGATCCCTGTGCCAAGAGGGCAGACGGGCCACGTCCCACACAGAATGATGCTGTCCCTGTGTCCCATACAGAATGATGCTGCTGTCCCCATGTCCCACACAGAACGTCGCTGCTGCTGTCCCCGTGTCCCCAGCGGGCACGGCCCCCGGGCAGCACCCAGCGCCGGGCTCCCTGCGTACCTCTCTGCTTGGAAAGTGGCCCCAAAGACGTTGTGCAAGTCCTAGCGTGAAGGAAGGCGGAGGAGGAGGCGCTGGGGACGGCCACCCGTCACCTCGGCGTCGCCAGGCCCCCGGGCTGGGCTCGCCGTGCAGCCTCAGAGATCCACCCAGCCTGGCAGCTGCAGGGCGAGCATGGCCAGCGCCAGGGCGGCCGGGCTGCCGCGGGCACCGGGGGCACCGTCACAGTCCTGCTTGTCCACCTCGCAGCGGGACTGCTGGCACAGCACGCCTTTGAAGCCCACGGGGCAGATGCAGCGCTGGTTCTGGTAGCAGGTGCCGCCGTTCTGGCAGAGCAGGAGCTCGTCATCGCACACGTTGGCTGCAGGGGACAGGGAGAGGGGTTATCCTGCGGGGTTAAACCCCTTGGCTGCTGCAGGAATCAGATTTTAGCTCCTAGGGGTTACATTATCCTGCTGCAGAGTGAGAGGTGCATGGTTAAACCCCTTGGCTGCTCTAGGAATCAGATTTTAGCTCCTAGGGGTTACATTATCCTGCTGCAGGGTGAGAGGGAGAGGTGCAGGTGTTACCCTGCAGGGTTAAACCCTTTGGCTGCTGCAGGAATTATATTTTAGCTCCTAGGGGTTAAATTATCCCGCTGCAGGATGAGAGGTGCAGGCAGGGTTAAACCTGGAGAGTTAAAACTCTTGGCTAGCAGGAATTAGATTTTAGCTCCTAGGGGTTAAATTATCCCACTGCAGGGTGAGAGGGAGAGGTGCAGGCATTACCCTATAGGGTTAAACCCCTTGGCTGCTGCAGGATTTCGCTCCTAGGGGTTAAATTATCCTGCTGCAGGGAAAGAGGTGCAGGCATTACCCTACAGGGTTAAACCCCTTGGCTGCTGCAGGAATTAGGTTTTAGCTCCTAAGGGTTAAATTATCCAGCCCTCCCAGCACTAGAGTGTCACCGTCATATTTTCTGAAAAATCCCCTTGCCCAGGATTTCTCTCCTGGGAAGCTGAGAAGCCTCAGAGAAAAAATGAAAACAATAATTATCTGATTTGCTTCTCCTGTTTTTCCCTGCTTTGGAATGTGATTGGACATTGTTTACCCACAGGTGGTTGTTTCATTGGTTTCATGTGAATTGTTTTTACTTTTTGATCAATTGCAGCCAGCTGTGTTGAGGCTCTGGAGAGTCATAAGTTTTTCAGTAGTATCTTTTAAACTTCTGTCTGTATCCTTTCTGTATTCTTTAGTATAGTTCTAGTATAGTATTCTTTAATATAATATAGATCATAAAATAATAAATTAGCCTTCTAAGAACAGATTTAGACCTTCTGTCTATATCCTTTAGTATAGTTTTAGTATAGTATTCTTTAATATAATATAGATCATAAAATAATAAATTAGCCTTTTAAGAACATGGAGTCAGATTTAGGTCTTCTGTCTGTATCCTTTAGTATAGTTTTAATATAGTATTCTTCAATATAGTATGGATAATAAAATAATAAATTAGCCTTCTAAGAACATGGAGTCAGATTCTTCCTTCCTTCATCTGGGTTCATCTGTGAACCCCGCAAATACCAGACTAGAGCAGCTCCAAGGCCAGCAGAATGCAGTGGAGGGGTGCAAAGCTATAAAGCTATATATCCATATAACTTTATATAGCTATAAAGCTATAGCTTTTCCATGGCCAAAGACATAAAATAATTTTAGATTTGGGAGGAATGGCCGGAACCTGCTCCCCCTGCACCCCGAGCATCACGAGGCACCCGAGCCAGCAGTGCTGGAGGTGCTGCTGCTGTTTGGAGGCCCCTCTGAGCTGGCTGGCCCTGCAGGGGGGTACTCACGGAAGCAGCCCTGTCTCCAGTAGTAGTTGGGCAGGCAGTCGTCACACTTGGGCCCCATGGCGCCTTCCCTGCACTCACAGTAGCCGGTCTCGTTGCAGCGGTCGTGCATGGAGCCGATCTGGTTGCAGTTACATTCTGGCCAAAGACAGGAGGGTCAGAGCCTGTCCTGCCTGGGCTTCTGTGCATGCAGCTCCCTGAGGGAGGGGCTGGGGGCTTTGGGGAGGTCTGGAGATGTGCTGTGGAGGAGAGCTTAGAGAACAAGGGGCTGGGAGGACACGTTGGCCTGAGAGGACCAAACAGTGCAAAGAGCCACAGGGGCAAAGGCCACCCCTCTTTGGAGCTGAGCCCTTCCTGGCTGAGCAAGGCATCTGAATTCAGTCAGAAAGGCTTTTTACTGTGAGGCACAGGGTGCCCAGAGAAGCTGTGGCTGCCCCTGGATCCCCGGAAGAGTCTAAGGCCAGGTTGGACAGGGCTTGAAGCAGCCTGGGATAGTGAAGCTGTCCCTGCCCATGGCAGGGGGTGGAACTAGATATCTTTCAACCCAAACTGTGATTCTAATTTTTAGGCTTTGTTTTCAGGGAAGAGATGCCTTGGCAGGTTGCAGAGACTGTACCAGCTGCCATCCTTGCAGAGCATGCAGGTGGGCCCCACACACTCCAGAGAGGGGCTGAATGAGGCCCATTCACAGAGCGAGGACCCAGCTGGGGCTGTGCTCACCTATGCAGACATTTCCTGTGCTCACCTATGCAGACATTCTCCCTGCTCACCTATGCAGACACTCCCAGACTCTCAGTTCTCACCTATGCAGACATCCCCTGCTCTCACCTATGCAGGCATTCTCTGCTCACCTGTGCAGACACACACACATTCCCTGTTCTCACCTATGCAGACATTCTCCCTGCTCACCTACGCAGACACTCCCAGACTCTCAGTTCTCACCTATGCAGACATCCCCTGCTCTCACCTATGCAGACATTCTCTCCCTGCTCACCTGTGCAGACACTCACAGACACTCTCCCTGCTCTCTGAGTTGTCACCTATGCAGACACTCCCTGCTCTCCCTGCTCACCTGTGCAGACACTCACACTCCCAGCTCTCACCTATGCAGACATTCTCCCTGCTCTCCCTGCTCACCTATGCAGACATTCTCGTCGTCCAGCTCGGCGGAGCTGTTGCGGTAGAAGCCCAGGCGGCAGTGCTGGCAGTGCTGGCCCCGCGTGTTGTGCTTGCAGCTCACGCAGGTCACCACGTTCAGGAAGTCGATGTAGCTGCAGCGGTTGGAGTGGCCGTAGCACTCGCAGTCTGGGGAGGAGAGCAGGGGACAGCTGGGGCTGGAGTGGCTTCCTTTGTGCTGGGAGCCACTGTGGAGGGTCCCTCACTGCCTGAGGGAATGCCATGGCCACTGCCAGAGCAGGGCTGGGATGTGCTGGGCAGGAGGAGGGCACACAACTCTCCACCACCATGGGGGGATCGGGCTGGAAATCATCACTCAGAGAGCAGAGCAGGGGCAGGGCCCTGTGATCTTGGGGTGTGGACGGGCAGGAGCCAGCCCCCTGCAATCCCAGGACGTGATTTCTTTCAGAAACTGCATGTGGAGGGGAGTCAGGTGTTAATTACACAGCTGCCTTGTTAATGAGCAGAGCCTGGGTTGGCTCTGGGGAGGCTGTGAGGAGCCCTGGCAAAGGCTCTGCCCCACTGGGAACAGAGGGGACTGGCCCGTGGGATGGGGCTGGCAGAGGTGCTCTGGTGGAGATGGAGCTGCTGTGTGTCTAGGTAAAACCTCACAGCCTCTCCTTTTCCCTCTGTCTCCCTTCTCAGCCCCTTCCTGTTGTACCTTTCTGTTGTGAAGGGTGGGGCTCTCAGGTTAAATGTTTAAAATAAGCCTGTGCAAGGCAGTGTGGCTTGTGTGGGATCCTTCCACAGCTGTGGACAGGTGTGTGGAGGGCTTGCCTGGCACAGCACAGCTTGTAAAGGCTGCTGGTGGGGTGGGAGATGCCACCATCACTTGGCCAAGTACTCCCATCCCCAGGGCTGATCTCTCTCAGCTGTGGGCACGTGTTAGAAAACAATCTGTGGGTGAACTTGTACTCAGGGAGATTGGATTTTGTGCTTCTTGTGTTTGCTTTTTGTTACCATGGCTTGGGTCGGTGACAGCCTGCAGTGTCAGATCTGGGCGCTGGATGTTACTGGGAGTTTGTAGATATTTGAGTTTATAGATATTTGAGTTTATATAGTAAGATGTGCAACTCAGAACAGGACTTGTGGCCCAGCTGGCCTGGTCAGGAGGTTCCCAGCCAGCAAGGGCAGGGGATAACATGAGCAGAAACAGCCTCAGCCAGGTCTGAGCTCTCAGAGCCTTTGGAGCTGGGGCTGTGTTCCAAACAGAACGTTAAACATTGAAGGATGGCAGAGGGGTGGCAGGGAAGGGTGTGGGCTGGCATGCACATGCAGCTGGAGGAGGAGATGTGCTCAATGACATGATGACCAGGGAAGAAGGGGCAGGGCAGAGGTTTCCCCATGGTTCACAGCTGCCTGAGGAGGAGCTGAGAGTCTCTTGTGATCTCTGTGAAGTAATTTCTTCTTCATCAACTGATATCCAAAGAATTTCAGCTCAAACACTGCCTGCTGCAATTCCCAGGTGTTGTTTCAGACCAGGGAAGCACTGCTACACACAGCCTACAGCTACCCACGACTCAGACAGACCCTCCCCACCTTCTCCATGTCTGATTCTGCAGGACCACATCACCTGAGTGAGGTCAGGGAGCCCTGGAGCTCCTCCCTCCCTCCGCTTACCTTTGTAAGTTTCAATGGGAGCCACTGGGCCGGAGTTTGGTTTGAGCCGGATGAGTTTTGAGCTCTTTGAGGATGCTTGAGAAAAATCAGAGAAAGGCTTTTTCCCACAGCTTAGCAGCACCCCGTGTCCTCCCCTGCCACAAGAACAATGCCAAGCCAAGAGCACCGTGCTGGCAGCACTGGCATCCATTTATGCATCCTGGTAGCAGCTACATTTCTCTTCTTCCCCGCCCCTCCTCAAAGTTTGATGCATGAAACACTCAATGCATGGATAACACAATGCACAACACTGCTGCAGAGCTGGGAGCAGCTACTCACACGTGCCCCCTTTATGGGTGCTTGGTGGGGTGGTTTGGGATGAGGATCTGCAGTTTACAAACCATTTTCTACTGGCCACAGAGGTCAGGCCAGCTGGCACCCAAACTCTGTGAGGAGGACGAGTGCTACGGAGGTGGCATCTGGCAGGGGTTGCTGGAGGGTCCTGCAGAGCAGGTGCTGCTCCAGCTTGGCCCTTCCCCAGCAGCACATACCTGTCTTTTTCTTGTGCTTCTTGCCTGCAGAGTGTGCTGTGCGCCCTGGTTTGCTCTTCGGAGCCGCTGGAGGATAGAACAGGTCTGAGAGCTGTGCTGGGAGGGGGCTCCAGGGCCATGTTACCCTGTTCCCTCAGGGAAAAGGGCTGTCCCGGCTGGAATGGGCTGACTGGGGACTGTGCTGTCCACACAGAATGCCCCAGCACTGGGGGTAAAGGCCACCAAGCCTTTTTGTGCTTTCTCAAGGCCCAGGCTGAGCAACACTGAGGTCCCACGGGGTGTTTGGAAGTGGGTTCTGAATCCATTGGATTTTTTGTGGAGTTTGTGCCCTTGCAAGTGCTGGGTGGCCAGCTCCAGCCACCTGTCTTGGTCACAGCCTCACAGTGACAGTGGTGGCAGGAGGTGGCTCTGCTCCCCATGGGCTCAGCCATGGTCAGGGTGCACCCGTTCCTGCTCCCAACACCATCCCTGAAGCTGCTGTGAGCCCTGCTGGTCTCCATGGCTTTCCTTGGCCCCAAACAGCCCAAAAAGGCCTCCCTGGGGCTGGATGAGCAGAGCTGGACGCTCTGAGTAGGAGATTGTACAATAGGGGTTGTGCTGAGGACAGCTGGGTGTCCTGGCCTGTGGCCCTGAGGGACAAACCTGCCCTGTCCCACTTGGGGACAGGCCTGGCCTTACCTCTCATGCTCTCGGGAGGCTCTGGTGGCTTCAGCTTCTCTCCAAGTGCTGCTGTGTTTGGTGGGTCATCAGAGAGAACATCACATTTAAAACAGATCCCCTCTGGTTTGCTTAGCAAGGTGGCAAAGGGACACTGGGAGCTCTAGGCAGTGTCTAGGCCGGGTCACTGGAGCTGTATCTGTTGAGGATGTGCTGAAGCAGGAAGGAGAGACAAACTCCCCTCAAATTTAGCATCTATAAGTGTGAGGAGAGGCAGGAAAAATATTCCTAAGGGGAGGGTGTGGGAGCTGCTGGGCAGCTGAGTGTTGGCACGTGGTCCTGGCACTGCCCAGGCACAGAGAGCAGAGCAGAGCACTGCCAAGGCTGTCAGCACTGCTGGCCCCTCGGTGTGGCTCCATCCCTTGTCACTGCAGCAGAAGCAGCTCTGCCTCTCTGTGAGCCCACACAGGCCCAGGATGCCGTGATCTGCACAGGAGGGATGCTAAAGCTACAGCTGAGTGAGCTACATGGGGTGGGAAAGGGGAGCTGAGCACAAGGGCAGCTACCAGAGCGTGTGTGTGGTGGGAACCCTGAGGAGGAGCAGCTTCAGCCTCAAATTTCTCTCTCCAGCCAGAGAAAAACCTCCCAGGGCTCCCACCCAGAGCACCTCAGGCAGCCACAGAGGAGCCTGAGCCAGGAAATGCATCAGAAGGATCTGAGCAGCACAGGCCTATCCACTCACAGGGAGATTCTGCTCTACAAACAGGCTCCAGCCTCGGGAGATGACAGCATTTCCATGATCCTCTCCGTTCACACCAGCAGCAAGCTGTGAACAATCCCTTCCACCACTCACCCTGCTCATCTCTCATGTACAGACTGAACCCTGAGGCTCAGCCCAGTGCATGCAGGGCACAGACCAGCCCCGAGCTCCTTGCTGGGCAGGAGGAGGAGAGAGCCATGGAAAACACAGATGCAGAGCTAGAAACTACAGGATTCTTTGAGCTGGTTCTTGCTGGCAGGACACAGCTCAGCCCTGTGGCTCCTACCTGGTGCTCCTGGGCCAGCCTTGGCTGGGGGAGAGCCCACCTGCAGCGGGGCAGCCGCTGACAAGTCAGGGAAGTCTTGCAGTGATCAAAGAGAAAATGGTGTTACTGGGGGAGCTGGGATCCCACAAAAGCCCTGCAGCATTCCCTCAGGGAGTCAGAGCCCCAAATCCAGCACCCAGCCCTGTGCCATGGGGGATGAACTGTGAGGGGCAGTGTGTGCTGAGCTGCTCTGCGTTCACACCTGAGCCTGCACCCCTCTGCTCTGAAATAACAGCACACACACCTGGGATGGAGCCACCAAGCCCTGCTTTCCAATCCCAGCCTCCACACCCTCCTTCAGGCTCTGCTGCTCCCTCAGAAATACAAATCAAAGAATTCCCAGCCACCGCAGAGAAGTTGAAGCAGCAAGAAATTGTGTAGCTCACTTGTTTGGTTTCCCTGCAAACCCTCACCCCCACTGGCTCCATCCCCCTCCCCTGCTTCTCAATATTGGTAACCATCTTCAGGTTTGCTAGAAAACAAACCAGGGACTAAAAATTTTAAAAGCCATATTATTAATTTCAAGCTCCAGTTGGGTAACATAAGGAGGAGGAGGAAAAAAAAAAAATCTCATGATTCTTGCCAAGTTTCAAAGGACAAACCCGGGTAGGAGAGAAATGTGATTTCCCAGCTTCATCAAGGGGATGATAAACAATACAGAATAAAAAAGAAAAAAAAATTATTTTTTTAATGACAAGCTCTAAGAGAAGGTGATAGACATTGTCCTTTTCAGCTGGAAAGTGGAAACCAATTGATATTAATACGGTGTTAAAGAGAATATGAAAAAATCCCTGTGCAAATTGGCAAGGGTTTAATTAGAGTCACAATAAAAAACAGCCCTGGAGGCATTTTGCTTTTTAGTCATTCACATACACCTCCACTCAATCGCATTTACAGAGCCAAGAAAATTATTAATGCTCATTATCCTGAGAACCTTTCCCTTTGTAGCTCTGGGCCATAATGGACAGTTTTACATTTTGAGAGGGGGAGAGAGACACATTTTGCCCCAGACCCACTTCATAAAAATGGGAAACGAGGGGCAGCTCTGATGGAAATTGCTGTTCTTGCTGGCCTTCTGAGGAAGTGGAATAAATTGAACCAAGAAGTCACATTTCATAGCAAAAACCACTGGGGCAAACAGCACTGGAGAAGGTGGGGGAGCAGCCTGGAAAATCCTTCTCAGGGATTCCTTTCCTGCAGGACCTCCCCAAAGCCAGGCTGTCCATGCTCAATTTCTTTGTGACCACCCAGCATCCCAAAGCTCAGATTTTAAAGCTTCTAAAATTCAGAAGGGCTCAGGCTGGTCCTGTTTTTCCCAGAGGTGAACGGTCACTGCTGAGACTGCCATGAACCACAGGGAGGAAAATTGAAACAGGAAAAAAAAATTAAAAAGGAAAAACTTGGGTTTTTTGGTGGGGTTTTTTCGCTTATTTTGAACATGGGAAAAAATGTAACAAATGGCAAGGAAGAAGTTGACAGGCTTCAAGGAAGGCTTTGAAATAACAGAACTGCAGAAGGCAAAGGAGAACAGCACTTAATTCATCCTCCTAAGGGTAACCCTGTGATTTCTCTTTCTTCTACCCACTCTGGCAGCTTCCCCTGCCTGCAGACCCCATGCCTTGCCCATGATCTCCTCCCTGTCCCCCCTGTATGGCACAGAAAGCATCCTGCATCCTACATCCTGCAGCACGACCACAGCTCCACCTTGACCACGAAAACACCACGAGCAGCCAAAGGAAGCAGATGTCTAGCAGCTCCACGCAACCCAGAGACAACCCAAATCTAATCTACTCCTCTGAGCCTACGTGCCACGCTGCTCCTGCCGAGCTGCACCCACTGCTGTGCGGAGGAGAAGGGAAAAACACGCAGGGTTTGCTGCCTTCAAATACCTGGGTTGTTCTGTGGCTCTGTCACGGGCACTGAGGCAGCAAACTCAGAGGCTGGTCTGATGATGCTTGCTTATGGTGGGAAGCAGAAATTCAGAAATTCAGAGGGCAGAAGACAGTGCGTCAGTTAGAGGGTGGAACAGTGCAGGGATGGGATGGCAGGACTGGTTTGAATGTCTGGCTTTAGAGCAAGGAGGGATTTGAAAGCTCCTAAAATTCAGAAGGGGGGGTTACAACAGAGTACCTCACTTTGGGGTTCTGACCCTGTCTGGCTTTAGAACAAGGAGGGACTTTAAAGCTCCTAAAATTCAGAAGGGGAGGTACAGCAGAGAATCTCACTTTGGGGTTCTGACCCTGTCTGGTTTTAGAGCAAGGAGGGATTTAAAGCTTCTAAAATTCAGAAGGGGGGTACAACAGAGGATCTCACTTTGGGATTCTGACCCTGCTTGGGGGTCAGCTCCTGCAAATGTGCCCTACCAGGAGTTCAAGGGGTCACCTCTCTCGCAAAGTGTTCCCCTTGGGGCCCAGGTGAATCAGATCTGCAGGCCCTTGGGAATGCCATGGTTTTAAAGAAATACTTTCTGTTTTGCATGGAGGGGGAGCATTTCTGGCCAAAAGCAGATCAGAATTTAGCTGTGCCTTGGTTCCCTGTTGCTGGTCAGGGGCACAGAGTGGACTTTGGCATCAAGCCCCTCATGGTGCCCAGGTAAGAGCAGCTCCTTGAGCTGCTGGTGGCCCTGGCTGCCCTCTTGTGTGGAGCAGCCCCTCCAGGACACCATCCTGGGGTGGGACTGGCTCTGCAGAAGCACAGATGGGGATCTGGATGGGTGAGGAATGAGGAATTCAGACCTGGCTGTATCAAGCCAACAACCTGGCAGCTGGGCTGCAATTCATTAATTTTGTCCCTTGCCATCAGTTAATGAAAGCAGTAGGAAAACATTTTCTCTGCCCAGGAAGCACGTTTTGGAGAAGGAATAAACCCTGTGATGTCTCTCAGGTGCCTCAGAGCAGCCTGGCAGGAGAGGTTACCCCCAGCACCCCAACTCCCCAGGGACACTATCCTGCCTGTGCCAGAGGTGCCACAAAGGCAGAGCACTGCAAATCATACAAGAGACACACCAAGCAGCTACCCACACAAACACAGCAAAAAATAGCCCTAAAATGTCACTACAGGTGAGCATGGATAAAAATCAGATCAGCCCAAGTGCATTGTGTGGATGTGGATGTGATCAGCTGGCCCTGCTGGGGATGGGTGAGCTCCATGCTCACCTCCTCCTGCACAGGTGGATCTGGGAAAGGAGCTCTTCCTAACAGAGCTGAGCTCTGCACTCTTTTTCCAGGGTCACTCCAACTCCATGGAAGTTGGACCTAAACCCTCAGCTCCTTGATTAACTCCTCAAGCAGGGTACTTCCATGAATATATCTATATTTGCATAAACATGCAATCAAGCTTCCTCATCCCTTTGACTGGCTTCTGGCAGCTCCCCCAGACAGACTGTTACTAACATGCTGTGGGTGTAAAACGTCCTCCTGGGAAATATCAGGCCCTGAAAGCATGGCAAAGGGAGGAATGCGTGTCTAATTCCCCCATGAACAGCTTAAAAAAATGTCCTGCTGTTAAGTTTTATCTGCTCATTTCCAAAAGACAAGGAGAAACTGCTGTCTCCTTGTTCAGGGGAGGAGGGAAGGAGGAACCCCCAGAAAAAGGACAAAAGTTTTCCTCCACTGGGAGATTTCAGAAATTAGGAAAGGATGTTTCTGGCACGTGGGTGAGTTCCAGCCCTGCTTGGACAGCAGCCACTTGGGGAATGCTGGAATTCTGCAACAGGAAAACTGCACCTGCAGTACATCCATGGGTTTGCTGCAGGACTGGGACAACCAGCAAGGACAGAGCAAAACATATGGGCTGCTCTGAGTCTGGTGGCAAGAGGCAGGAGGTCAGGGGTAGAGCAGGATGGGGTACAATTCCCCTCTCCTTACAGAGAAATACGTGGTTTAAATTTATCATGGATCAAAAAACTCTTCATTCCCTTCCTGCCCTGCTTGTCACGGAGCTGTGAGAGCAGCTGTGCCAGAGAAAACAGGGCTGCCTGGTGAACCAAGCCAGGGTGATTTTTATCCATGTCCCTTTATCATCCTACAGAGCAGAGACCCACGGCCACCAACACAGCAGCTGAACGAGGAGCAGAGTCCTGGTCCTGAGCAGGGCAGGGAGCATGGCACCCACCTGGCTGGGTGGTGGTGGCTGGTAGGGGGGTGCTGGTGGTGGCTGTGGTGGTGGTTGAGGTGGTGGTGGCGGCTTTTGCAGTGGTGGTTTTTGCAGTGGTGGTTTTAGCCGTGGTGGTTTTAGCCGTGGTGGTTTTTGCCGTGTTTACTCGCTGCGGCCGCTCGTACGCTGACAAGCAAAGAGAAGAGTTGGGAGGCACTTATGGGGGGGTGCTGGGTTTCCATGCCAGCCTGCACACACTGAGGCTTCTGCTGCTGCTGCTGGCCTGGCCTGGTGACAGATTTCTCAGCGTGGTCACAACTGGGGCACCGGCAGGATTAAGGCGACGCCGCTCGATGAGGCATTGCAGCCAGGGCGTGCGTGTGTGTGTGTGCGTGTGTGTGTGTGTGTGTGTGTGTGTGTGTGTGTGTGTGAGTGAGCAGGGGCTGCAGCCTGGGGCTGTATCAGCTTACTCTCTTGGTGCAGATATTGGCTTAAATACTTACAGCTCCATCATAAACTAATTGCCAATTAAGCTGAAAGGGGGAGATGAAGGCACGTCTGGGCAGGGATGGGGTGAGGAGCGGGTGGGAGGTGCCAGGCCAGGCTGTGCTCCCACTGCCCACTGCCCACATGCCCAGCTGAGCTCCATTCCCTGCTGCCACCCCTCCCCAAATCACCTGCCACCCTCAAAGCCAACCAGGACCATTGGCACCCTTGTTTCCAGTGGAACACTTCAGATTTTGGGGTGGTTGGAGGTCAGCAGAGCCCCCGAGGAGCCAGGAGTGATCCTACCCCAAAGCTCCCCACAACAACCTGACTAAAATAACACTGGGACACAAATTCCTGCTTAACTTACACCTGCTGCCCTCCTGTCCTTGTTTGTCCCACTGCTTCATGCAGATTATCGTGCTTAATTTCATAATAGCCCTGAGCTAGTTTAAATACTTAATTTAGGTCACTTCTAGTCTCCTATGTGGGCTAAATAATCTCTCCTTAACTGGCCTTGGACATAAATCCCTCCTGTCCTCCTCCTGCACATCACTCCCAGCACCCTCCCGGCTTCCAGGGAAACAAAAGTAGTGCTGAGGATGCCAAGCTTTGTAAATGGGAGGGAAAAAAGTCATCAAAATGGTTTTGAAGACAAAGGTGAAGAATATTTTGAGCTGTTGAAACATTTATTTCTTAAAAATCCTAAATTACTTAAGGGAGACCTTTAATTTTTATTTGAAAATTTCAAGCAATTAACTGCTAAAAATCTAAATATGGTTCATTAACCCAGAAAACCTGTCCTCCACTTTTCTATTAGGTGCATTTTTCTTAATTGCATTTGCATTTCCCTGAAACGATTCCTCTTCCAATTCTTCCCACTTGCCTGCAAACCAAAGAACTCATTATTCATTCAGCTCCCTGATTTGTTTCTTCTGGAGGGGCACTCTGCACCACAACACTCAAACCCAGGCTTCTGCTTACCCAAAACTCCAGGCTCTTTGATATCAAACTACCTCCAGCTTTGTTAAATAAGGAGCACTCTCCTGCCATCAATCTTGCAGCAGAAATCCCTGCTGAGCTCTGCCTTTGCTGCTGACACCTCACAGACATTTGTTCATATGCATACACGTGTACATACAGATGTACACTCACTCTGGATGCTTTTTTATTGATAGCCCAAGGTGACCCAGACTGGGTTCTACACCAAATAATTCACACCCAGCTCCTTCTCAGAGCAGAATTCTGCAGCACTGGGGGGTTAAGGGGGGACTTCACAGCCAGCACTGGTGATTTTGAAGAGTCTTTTTTTATTTCCTTTGCAGCTGCCATACTAACGAACCTCATGGGGGGAAACCACGCCAGAGGAAGAGGCAAAATGAGGCTGCTGAAGTCAGAGGAAGAAAATATAAGACTCTTTGACAAGACAGAAAATGAGGCACAATTAGGGAAGACTTATTGCCTGGAAAATGATAATGGATAGAAAATAACCATATTTTTTTTCCAAGTGACATCCACAAGGATCATGCACCGAGGTGTTAAATGCCAGCATTTCAGTCAGGGTTTTACTTACTGCCAAAGGCTGAGCCTGCAGCTGCACCTGCAAAAAACAAGAGGAAGCCCAGTCACTGGAAGCAGGACACCACCAGAAGATCACACAGACACACACCATGGGACTGAGCAGCAGCTAATTAGTGGGGGCTTGCTCACAGGCACATCAGTTTGCTGCTACAGCTTAAAAGCTGCTTTTGTCAGAGCACAGAAACAGCCAGACAACGCTGTCTGGGCTCCTGGCATCTCAAGCCTTTCACCTGGGGAAGGAAAACCAGCGTGGTCCTTGCTGGTGGGTTTTGCTGTTAACCATTTCCTTGGGCTGCTGTGACAGCCCAGCAAAGGACAAGCACACAGGAGCACTGGGCTAAGGACAGGCTTTAGGGTCTGAAAAATCTCAGAATCACAGGATGGAAAAGGTCATCTAGTCCAACCTATGAGCCAACACCTAAACCATGGCACTGATGCCGCATCCAGTCTGGTTCTAAACACACGCAAGGGCCTCCCTGCTGTTACACGTGGATGAATCATGGAAAGTCTCAGCTCTGAGTGAATATAAAGCACAGTGATGGAAGAGGCAGGGCTAGCAAGAGCAGAGCTGGGGCAGAGGAAGAGGATGTTGATTTGGGGAGGAGGAAGCAGCGGAGAGAGTTGGGTGGGAATGAGGAAGACTGAATGACAGATGGGAAGAGACATGAATGGGAGAAGGAAGAGCAGAGGAAAAAGGGAAATAGGAAGAGACACAAGGAATGGAGGGGAGGGAAAGAGAGAGAACAGCATGTCTGTGCCTGTCAGCACCAGAAACTCTCCCAGGCTCCTTTGAAGCAATGCAGTCGCTTGGTGGGAGCTGACAAGCTCGCTCCCTTTCAAAGAACCTGCTCATCTACCAGCCCTGGCACACACAAAACATTCCTGTCACGGCCTTCGGAGCCTGAATTTCAGCTTTGATCATCCTAAAGCACATAAATCTTTAAAAAAATTTGGGGGGAGGGAGAGAAAAGATTCTCTTTGGTAATGCTCAAAGCTGCTGCTTGAAAGGCTGGAGTGGCCACTGTGGCTTGGTGACATTTAAACAAGTTTGCTAATGTGGAGTGGACAGGAGCCCAGGAGGAACCAGCCCATCTGTGGTGCCTCCTGCCCCAATTCCTGGTGGGAATGCATCCTGCATCTCGTCTGTGTGCTGCCACCGCTGTCAGAGCCGTGTTCCTGCAGCAGTGGAGGAGGCTGGGGCTGTGCAGGGGACACCAGCAAGCACAGACAGCATCCAGAGAGCAGCCAGCACTCCTGCAGCTGAGCAGAGCCTGCCCAGAGTGCTCAACACCATCTTTGTCACAGGACAATAACCGGCTTTGCCCTGAAGCTGTGGTTATATCTCAGCCTAAGGTCATCATCCCTGCTCTTGACCATCACTAGATTCACCACTCCACATCCAGCAGCCAGCACATCCCCTCTGCATCCACCAGATCCTTTCAGTTCTCTGTGTACCAAGACAGAGTAAGAACCCATTTCCCTCTGGAAAGCTGAGCATCCTGCACTGATTCGAGCTGGAAAAGGACAAGATGAGTTCCTGCTCCCCTCTGTGGGGGTGATGCAGCCCAGAACAGGGCTGCAGGTTACTCACATGCATTGGGGGACCCGTTGGGGAGAGGCAGGTAGGAGCCTGCTCGCCAGGACCTGGAGCGAAAGTTCTTCTTGCACTTGCCACAGTCCTGGCCCGTGGTGTTGTGCTCACACTCGCACTGCAGGCTGCCCTCTTTGAAGGTGCACAGGTTGGCGTGGAGGTTGCATTTACATCTGGAGGAAGAAGACAGGGAAGAGCTGTCAGGTGTTGCTGTTGCTGCTCCTGCTTGCCTCCAGCCTAGTGCTGGAAATGTGCTGAGGCCAGGCTGGGCACCCCTTCCCTGCTGCTCCTGCAGGATTTTCTCACTGAACTCAGCAGTGTACCCCAGGTATCTGGTGCTGGGGTTCAATGTCCACCTCATTGAACTCAGCAGTGTACCCCAGGTATCTGGTGCTGGGGTTCAGTGTCCACCTCCTCACCCAGGGCAGATCTGCAGCCTCTCATCCACTTCACTGCCACTATCTGGCTGAGGAGCACAGAGTGTTTGATGGCAAGTCAACATCTGCAGCTGAGACTCCAGGAAGGAGTCCCCCACATGTCAGGGTGTTACAGGAATCTGGGTAATGACCTCAGATGGAGGTTTTGACTTGGAGGCAGTGTCTGGCTTTGGATGGAGGAGCTGGGCTAGCCCTGGTGGCACTCAGCCCTTGCTCCCTCTGCACTGTGCCAGAGCCAGCAGCATTTTCTGTGCACATTTTCTCCCATGATGTGAGGCTGCCCAGCACAAACCCTCCACACAGCACAGCCCCAGCCTGCTGTGACCAAAATAACACAGACAACAAGCCACCACCAGCATCCACCAGCCAGTCCCCACCTCATCAGAGAAGGCAACAACTAAAAACGCTATTCAGCAATTTGCAAACATTAAGAAACTTTTAATGAGCTGTAGTGCAGTATGCAGGGAATAATTATCTCTGTGCACAATAATTCCTGTTGCTCAGGCTCCGGAGGTGACTTGTGCAGAGCGCAGAGCCTGAGCCCATAACTCACACGTGGCTCTGGTGACTCCTGGGCCCGAGCTGAGGCCATCAGACAGAGACTTTGGGGACCAAAACATCTCATTTCATTCCAGACAGCCCATCCCTAGCCCAGCCTGACGGTTTGCCCTGCTTTGTGCAATAATTTACACTCTCAGAAGCAGAAGCATTAGACAACAGTAATGCTGTGCCTTCCGTGCAGGGGTGGGGAAGTCTGATGGGGCAGCACTTCCTTTTACAGGGCTCAGGAGATGCAGAGCTGAGGGAATGAAACAGGAAACATGGAAACAGGAAACATGGAAACAGGAAACATGGAAACAGGAAACATGGCCTGCTGCTCCTGGTGCTCTGTCTGCACTGGGATAAACAGCCTGGATTAGGCTGGAGCTGCGAGTCTGGTGCTGGTGCTGTGCATGCCCCCCATTCCTGGTGCCTCTCCCCTGTCCCTTGGAGCCCCCCAGAAGCTCCCCAGGCACCTGCCTGACCCCCTGAGGCCACCCCTGCCGTGCTCTCCTCACGCATGGCTGGATAAGCTGACCTCATGTATGATTTCTTTCTTTCCTCTCCCTCCCCTCCCTGTCCTTAATTCTAGCAAACCCCGCTCAGAGGCTCAGCATAAGCTGGATGAACAATCTCTCCCCGTTTTACAACCCTGCCCTGCGTCTGACCAAGCAGAGGAGGGAATTTTGCAGCCTGGAAAAGGGAGGGAAGGAGAAAACGTGGCTCAGGGAGCAGAGGCAGGCTCAGCACGCTGCACTTTGTGGAGATGCAGCGTCACGGCTGACAGCACCAACAGCCCTGCTGCTCTGGGACTGAGCCACCAGCGCACAAACAGGGCAAGGAGGTGGCTTTGGCTGGTGCCTCCAGCCACGAGGATGCTGCATTTCACATGCTGCAGGTCCCCTCTGGCTCTGCTGAGGAAGGGTTTGGGCTGAGCTGTGGCACAGGCGCTGCCCAGCCCTGGGGTGCTGCGGAGCTGCCTCTGAATTATTCAGTGTCCACACACAGCCTGGCCTCCTTCTCTCGCTTCAGAAGCAGCAGACAGAGCAAAGCAGGCAGGGATAGTGTGGTAAAGCAGGTTAAAGCAGGTCAGAGCCTCCCCACTGCTGCTCTGGGCCCTGCCTGAATGGGGGAACAGCTCTGGCGGCTGCAGCTCTCCTCCCTCCTGCTCTGATGGGGTGAGGGGATGGGGCAGCTCCAGGGCACAGCCTCAGCATCCCAGGGGGGTTTAGGAGCCCCAGGGGAGTGGGTGCAAGGATGGATGGGACTGTCACAGCCCTGGTTTTCCCTGCAGTGTGGGATGAGCTGCAGGGTGGTGCTTGGCTCCAGTGTTCGACCCTGTGAGTCACAGACCAGTCACAGAGGGGACATCAGCCCTGGGTGGCCACCAGCTGGTCCCCATGGTGGCCTGAGGCAGCCTCAACCAACCTCAATCACATGTGGCACATCCTTGCTCCTGGCAGGAGCCAAGCAGACATTTTGGGGTGTTTCTGGCTCCCAGGGCAGGAGAGTGAGACCTATGCAGCATTAATTTGGCTCCAGCTACAAATCCTCCTCTCCACAGTGGGACCTGGCCTTGCTGAGGCACAGGAGGGTCACAAGGGTGTGCTCCTCCACAGAAAGGAGGGTGCAGGAGGGTCACAAGTCTCTGCTCCTGCACACACAGGAGGGTCACAAGGATCTGTTCCTTCCTACACACACTGCTCCCTTGCTGCTGGGGAAGGCTGGGGGCCCAGCACCAGCTCCTGGGCCAGCCCAGCTCCCTCCTGCCCAATGGGATGGGTCAGGGAAGGAGCTCATGGATGTCCCCCAGCCAGCTGTGATAGAGCACTGCCCTTCCCAGGGGAGACCCTCACTCCCTAATTGGTGTAAACAAGGAAAATTGAGTCAATAGGAGGCAGAGGCAGTGTTCACCTTGCCTGCCTGTGCCTGGGTCACTGATTTTTCTCACTGCCAGGCCCTTTGCCACTGTGCAAAAGTTTTGTTTTCTGAGGGATCAATTTTACCAGGGAATTGCTTTCTGAATTCGACCTTTGAGGATCATCAATCTAAGCAGGGAGCTGTAACCCCAGCAGGCTGACCCCACAGCACAGCACTTTTCAGCCCAATCAACCAGGCTGCATTATTTAATGGTGAACAGCCGAGCACCCCCAGCCAGCCCCGTTTTGGGCAGAGGTTTCTGCATCCTGCAGCTCAGGCTCAGTGGATCAGCTTCAACCCCTTCCTCAGGCTCCTGTGCCTCCTCCTGTGGGCCCACAGCCCAAGGACAATGGTCTGTGCCTGCCTTTCCCCAGCCAAGGCTCAGCTGGTGGAGGCTGGAGTGAATGGCATTAGCCCAGTCCCCTGGGTGGGAGCTGCTCCTCCTGCTCATCCTCCTCGGCGCCCAGCCACGGCAGGAAGGAGAGGATGAAGGGAAAGGTTAGGAGCTGCTTAGCAATGAGGCTTAAAAATCAGCAGCGGGGCAGACACCTGCTCCGTGTCCTGCAGAAGGGAGCCATGGCCCTGCTCCAGCCCCGGGGCTGCTCCAGCAAAGTGCTGCTTGCAATATGGTCTCTCTGGCTCTGGAGGAGATCTGGGGAGGTGGGAGTGGTTCTGCTCTCTGGCTCGTGGGTCAGGGCTGTGCTGACAGTCGGCATTGGGGGGGAGCAGCCCCAGCAGGACCCACAGCACCCTCGGGCACCAGGGACACCCACCCTGGCCCAGGCTGGCAGGAGGTGACACCCTGCACTTGGCATGCAGCAAAACCTGGCTCACACTGCTCCCAGCAGGAGTGGTCAGAGCAATGTGTGCCCCAGGATGTTACAGCTTGCACAGAGGGGTATTTGCGAGTTTATTTTAGTGCAGGTCATCCAGCTCTCCTCAGAGTGGTGCAGTGTGGTTCTGATGCTGCCAATGCCTCCACCAGGGAACATCACAGAGCACTGAGGAAAGTTTATAGGAAAGTGTCCTTTTTTCCCCTTTCTTCTTTTTTTTTTTTTTTTTTTTTGTTTTTTTGTTTTTTTGGTTTTTTTTGTTTTGTTTTTTTTTTTCAGCCATAAAGAACACTTTTCTGCAATTCTCCATGTCAGCATCCTGGAGGTCACAGCAGTGAGCTGCTGGAGAGGTGTCTGGTGCCAAGCCCACGTGTGAGGGAAGGAGATGCCCACACACAGGAAGGGGGTGAGTGCAGCAAACCTGCAGCAAACCTCCCTCTGTGCTGGGAGTGAGAAAACAGCCCCTTTCCCTGAGCTTTCCTTAATAATGACTTTTGAAGTAATTTTAAAAAGCCATCCCAGCCCTTTGTTTTCCTTCCAAGGATTCTTACTTGTTTCAAAACTCCTTTTTTTGTCCTCAGCCCCATTGCAGAGCAGGGAAGTGAGGCAGAGAAAGGCAAAGAGCATCTCCTCATCCCTCTGCTTTCCTGCAGGGATGGGGCAGCTTTGGGGTGTGGTTGTGTTTACAGGGGTCCAAGGATGAGGGAAGAGATGAGGATCTGACTTTGTGTTTTAGAAGGCTTGACTTATTATTTTAAGATATATATTATATTAAAACTATACTAAAAGAATAGAAGAAAGGATTTCATCAGAAGGCTAGCTAAGAATAGAAAAAAAAAAGAATGATAACAAAGTCTTGTAGCTCAGACAGAGAGTCTGAGCCAGCTGACTGTGATTGGCCATTAATTAGAAACAACTAACATGGGTTAATCAAAGATTTACCTATTGGATTTTATAGCAGCAGATAACTATTGTTTACATTTTGTTTTTGAGGCTTTTTAGCTTCTCAGGAGAAAAAATCCCAAGGAAAGGATTTTTCAGAAAACATGCCTGTGACATTGGGGTTCTGGCACCCCCTCAGACCTGATGCAGTGACTTGGAGAGCTGCTCCATCTCCTTGTGCCTCTTGCCCAGTTTCCATAAGACAGCACTGACTGCTCTGAGCTCCTCAAAAACCCCAGACATGGAGCTGCAGAAGGTCACAACCTCCCCTGCAGGCTCCTCTCCACCAGGATGCTCTACAGGCCACAGGGATGCTCTGGACACTGCTGGTCCCATCCTGCAGGGTTCCAAACCATCACACCCCTGCTTTTCCCTGCCCTGGGCTTGGCTTTGCCCCCCTGCTCCCTTTCTGCCGGGGAGAGGCAGCTCGGAGAGGCGCTAATGACTGCGGGCCGGAGGAAGGCTTCTCAGAGCTGCTTTCCCCTGAATTGTTTGCTCTCA